AGGGGGCTGGAATTAGGCCGACTGGAAAGGAGACTGCCATGGGCAGGCGTGGGTGCACAGGCTGGGGAGGGACAGTGAGGAGATAGAGCAGGGGCAAGTTCTGTGCAATTAGGGGTGAGTGGGGAGTGACCCACACTGACCTTGTACCTTGCAGTGAACAGAGGGTGAGTGTAAGCTCCTGTGAGATTAGATGATCCCAGGCATAGATTTATCCAAACCTGGAGATGGTTGTAACCTCTTAATCCTCATCTAACTGCTGCTTCCCCAGAACACCATATCCTGTCTCCTTGTCAAGGGTATTTTGACCTAACTCTATGAGAAATACACATATATATACACATAGCACATACCTATATATGTATACAGAATATTATGTATACAGAATATATGTGAGACATATATATATATAGAAAGAGAGAGAGAGAGAGAGAGAGAAAGAGAGAGAGAGAGAGAGAGAGAGATCAGTATGTCAGGTTTCTCCAGAGAAAGAGCACTAATAGCATATATATTAATATATATATATATATAGAGAGAGAGAGAGAGAGAGAGAGAGAGAGAGAGAGATTTATAACTTATTTTAAGGAATTAGCTCATGCTATTATGGATATTGGCATGTTCAAAACAAGGTGTAGAATTCACTCTTGCTTGGGGGAGGTCTGTCTTTTTGTTCTATTCAGGCCTTCAACTGATTAGATGAGGCCCACCCATATTACAGAGGGTGATCTGCGTTATTCAAAGTCTACTGATGTAAATGTAAATCACATTTCAAAAATACCTTTACAGCTACATTTAGATTGGTGTTTGACCAAAGGACTGGGCACCTTAGCCTAACCAAGTTGACACATAAAATTAACCATTACAGACCATTTGCTTTATTCTTTCTGTGCTCCTCCACAAAAAGGTGGATTCTGAGTTTACCTTGGTAATTTTGCACTTACCTCCAATTTCAGACTCTCAGAGTCTAAAAGAATAAAGATGTTTTCCCAAGAATGAAGAGATTATTTGTGTATTTGCTTATAACCCTATATTAAATATCTGAACTGCACTGATTAATCACATGCATTTTTTTATCCACACCCTTTTCTTTATGTATTTATTATGTGCTATCCCATTAATAATTAATAAAATAAGAATTATCTCTGTTTTAGTGGTGGGGATATGACCAAGGTCCCTGGCTAGTCTGTGGCAGCATGCAATAGAGACACTGTTTCCCTGCCTTTCTGACAAATGTTCTTATTCTACCTCACAGCTGCTTCTGCTGCTTCTAGCTTCAAATTGCTTCTCTTTGTTCTCAACAGTTGTCAGTCTTTCTTATGACTTATAAGGTATTTATTTTGCCTTTGTGTCTTCTGGAAGCTTCTGAAATACCCCTTATTCGTCCGTTTGCCAGTTTTCTTGTCTTTGGAGTTAAGTTTAGTGAATTCACTTGGAGAATTTAATGATGCTTTTAGGAGAAATAAAGTCCATGCCCCAGATGAACATGGTGATTTATCTGAGTACAGTGTGAATATAAATTGAGTGGTTAGATTTTGATGTATGGTATTTGAAATAAATGTCAGTAATGCTAGATAGGGATAGGCTCAGATGGTTTGTGATATAGATGCCAATTCATATTTTATGATATCTTCACCAAACAAGGAAATAATCAAGGTGGATGCCTTATTAGATCTGAATTGGGGAAATTAACTTTAATGTGCATTGTGACCTTTTGTACTGTAATTGCCAATATACTAAACTAGTCTGCATGAGGTCATGTTTTGGCAATTTGCTTATATTCATTCATCTTTTTGATAGAAATAGCAATGATGGTATTAACAATTGGTACATCAAAAAACTGTACAGATATAGTCATTGCAGATGGCATACTTTATGGTTTGATTTGTAAAAATATTTTATATGATTTTTTTCAGTAGAAATCTGCATAAAAATTTCTTAAAGGGTACTTGGGAAGAGAGACTTTTCAGAACTAAAATTTTGGTTAATATGAATAACTATTAATTATAAAAGCAAAACAAAAAGCTTTGTCTATACTAATCTGCAGGGAAAACAGCTCAAATATTCAGGAAGTCAAATGGGTATAGGCATGTTTATTTAACATTTGAAATTTTATAACATAATATATATTTTAACCAAGTGGTATTTTTATAACCGGTATAATTTATGTAGCAAAGGGGAGTTTGATTTCTGTTGAGTGGTCTCTTGCAATTGTCAAGGATTGAATGAGGGATGCTGTGGGATGGATTTCTAAAAAATTCCTTGAACAAACCTATCCCAAAGTGGACACAAGAGGGCGCCAAGCATGCAGTAGCTGATGGAGATTTAATGGACGAAATAAACTCTGGCACTTAAAAATGAAGCCATGTTTATTTTATTCTGGATAATATATTATGCACCTGCTTGTTTTATTTTTTAGACTGATTCGTGTCAAATGACTTTCCAGAAATATGACATGTGTACTGGATCCAGGCAGAACTAATCTTTCAACGTAGAAGTAGGACTATTTTGTACAAATTATATTCCATGATATAATGAAGTTTTACTTTATTGTGCTCACTCTAAAGGGAATTAAGAGACTGTAACAAGATACAGCACATACTTTTTCATGCATTTTGTCTCTGTAACTCACTAAGAAATAGTTTTTTGGTCATGGGATATTTACTATATGTGTGTGTGTGTGTGTGTGTGTGTGTGTGTGCATCACATACTAAAATTCCTTTGTTAGAGGCAAAGAGTAGTGAATCTGTCCAGAGGGCCTGAGACTTCTAGAAAAAAGAGGACACAACACTGTACTTGAAGAAACTAGAGTTTGCAGTGGAAGAGAGAGAACTAAGGCATTTTTGTCTTACTAAGTGTTTGGCTTGTAGATTAGTTTGCTAGGGCCGCAATAATGAAGTACCACAGACTGGGTGGCTTAAACAACAGAATCCATTTGCCCACAGTTATGGAAACTAGAAGTCCAAAATCTGGGTGTTAGCAGGATTGATTTCTCTTGAGGCCTCTCTCCCTGGCTTGCAGATGGTCACCTTCTTCCTATGTCCTCCCAGGGTCTTTCCTCTGTGTGTAAGCAATCCTGGCATCTCTTTATATGTCCACACTCTCCCCTCTTACCAGGACACCAGGTAGATTGGATGAAGGCTCACTCTAAAGGCCTTAATTTAACTTAATCACCTCTTTGAAGGTCCTGTCTCCAAATACAGTCACATTCTGAGATAGTGAGGGTTATTTCTTCAACATAGGAATTTTTGGGAGACATGATCAAATCCTTAACTCCTTGGTCTCCCTTCTGAGTGTGTTTATTGACCCGTTTGCGGTGAAACAGCCCCAGCGCCCTGCACACATCAGGTATTCAATACACATTTGCCGAATGAGCCAATTTCTGCCTTGAGAGACGACACATTTTACTCTGCCTAGGCTTTCCTGCTATCTCCGACTGCCTGACAGGTAGTAATTAACTGCTGAAAAAAAAGGCATAAATACTTCCTTTTAAACATTGACGTTATGTCCATCTGGTGAAAGAAAAGGATAGAGGCAAATAAGGAGAGTTCAGGAAATGCTAAAATTTCTTTGAAATAATTTCATTGAAAATTAACAAGTTGATTATTGTGAACACAGATTCCAATTTACACATAATGGCCAATCATCTAGCTTTCCTGGCCTTTGATGAAACTCTTCCTACCCACAGCGATCTGCTTCTCACTCCTCCCGTAATGGTTATCGAGGGCTTCTTAGGTTAATTTGCCTTTCAGATTTCCACCGCTGAAAGATAATACGTTTAACTCAATTAGAAGCGCTCGCCTGGGTCCCGGTGCAATTTCTGCGGCCCGGGCAGCGCCGCCCCCGCGCGTCCGCTGCGGTGCCCACCCCGCACTTGGGGTGCAGTCGCCGAGCCCCCCGTTACCGCCCGTCACCTTGCGCGGGGTCCCCGGAACTCGAGCCAGAGGCCAGCCGGGACAGTCAAAAACCGGGGACCCCTGTTCCCAGGAGTTGCTCTGCTGCGTCAGGAAGCATTTCTGGCCCGGGAGACAGAGGGAGGCGCCCTGCGTGGACCCTGCAGGGCCTGGACAGCAAGCACGTGGCTCGCGCGCCCAGGGCCTGGCTGCAGGCGCGGAGGGGATGAGGGACCCTCATCTCGCACACTCCTAATAATAGTGTTCCCTCCCTTGAAGCATATTTCCATTTCTCCAAACAATTGGTGGATTATCTGTTGTTTTCTCAATCTCACCTTCTTCCTTTGGGGGGCTGTGAGCTACACCACAGAGGCATGGAGCTGCCTTTGGACACCTCATCCTTCACGCCTCTTTCAACTTCATCCCAACCTTTCAGAAAAGACCGTTTCTTCCTCTTGCCTCTTAGACCTCTCTTTTTCAGGCTGCTGTGATAAAGTTCTTGATACTTTCTTTTCTCAAAAGACTTTTTAAAAGATCCTTTATGTTGGCAGGGAATTAACTCATGAATAAATGGATAATAATAACGGCTGACATTTTTGGAGCGTTGACTATTTGGCAGGCGCGAAGCGGAGGGATTTGCTCGCATTATCTCGCTCGATCCTCCCGGCAGCTTTGTGAGGAAGCCCACTTCACAAACGGCGGAGCTGACGCTGCGGGAGGACGTGGCTCGGCCTGGGTCATGGGATTAGGGAGCAGCGATGCTCCAAGTGCAGGGGAGAGGAAGCGGGTTTGGAATGGAAGTCCCGGGCTGCAACACACACAAAGGTGGAGGGTCAAAAGCCGATGTTTATTACTTTCCCTTAACAAAGGTTAAGTACCCATTGTGTGCCTAATACCCCGAGGGTCATAAAAGGGGCCGAAGCTACAGCCCCTGCCCTTGGGGACAGTTTTAGTCTGTTCAGTGGCTCCCAAAGTCTGCCGCACATTGGAACGGTCTGGAGATCTGTAAATATGTATGTTATGAACGCCTGCTAGACCCCCAGAGATTCATATTTACACAGTGCATATGGGAGTGGGATGTGGACATCGGGGGTTTTAAAGCTCCCCAAATGACTCTAGCGTGCAAAGTTGGGAGTCGCTGGTCTGGCTGGAGCGTGAAGCTGTAATACATTGAGGGTGAAGCAGGAGGTAAGTCCATGTGGCATCGTGTGGCTGAGTTATAATTTCCACAGGAATTTTCATAATTCCTTTGAAGTCAGGTCAGCAAACCCTCCAATCTGCTCTTTTTTTGTTTTCCTCACTTTGGTCTGGAGAGCACATTACTTTGATTTACACCCTCCACCCCCCAACAGCAATCGGTGTTTTGGTTCCTTTTCTTCTAGCGCAAGGTTAAATACTGAGCTTCAGTTCACCTGGGTTTCTGGGGCCCCATCCTCTCTGCTCCCCATCCTTCCCCTGTCTCCCCTCACCACCAGCCTGCTTCCCTGTTCCAGCTTTTGTTCTCCATTTTCACTTCTTTTTTTGTTCACTTAAGTCTTCTAGTCATTTACTATCCCTAATCTGTCACTCATCTATCTCCCTGATTAAAATTTGACAAGCTCAGTACTTTAAAAAAAACAAAACTATTTTTTGAAGGAGAAAAAAAAGCTCCAATATGTTTTGTGCACTGATTTGGTTAGGAAATTTACACACACTCTGCCCTCCTTTCTACAAACCTCTATTCCATTCACCTGTGTCATTTCCTGTGCCTTTGTTCAGAGCTGATCACCAAATTATTTTTCAATCAGTATCTGTTGATCACCCACCCACCTTGTCCAAAGCACCACCATTTCTCTTTCCATGGTAGTTTTTAAATCATTATGAAGATGCAGAATTCCCCTTGCATGTTACCATTACTCCATTTGGTGTTTAACTGTACTGAACATATTGAAAGGTTGAAAGAGACATTACTATTTTGGTTATTTATCTGTTGCCGAATGTACATGAAAAGATGTAGTTTTTCTTTCAACGTTCATCAACAGCAGATAGTATTTTATGGCTATAGAGATTTTTCAGGGCAATTATAGCTGTTCATTTCCATTTTACTAATTGTTAAATTTTACTAATTTGGACAATGTTAGAAATATATAATGGTGGCTTAAATGAGAAGCCATGAGGAGATGGTGAGGGAAAAAGAAATACTAGAAAGGTAGTATAGAATTAAAGTATGCAATGAGTTCCAAGTAAATGTCACCAATAGAGCTGGGAGCACAAATACAACAAAAGGAGCAGAGACACATACATAGAACTATGTACATATAGAGAACCAGTTCTTAGGATAAAACAAGTAGTTAGGCATAGGCTTATGTTAAGATAAAATTCCAGAAATTAAGATAGGAATGAAGAGTGGGAAAGAAAAATAACAGCTAGAAACAAAGAGTTTGCTACTTACAAAGGTGTGTACATCAACGGAAAAGAAATATAGGAGTTAAGTTGCCTGATCTAGTTATAAAGCCACAATCTTTCACTTGTTAATAAAAACGATTGTAATTTGAAAACCTGGCTGAAGATTTTTCATTCTCCGTATTATGAACTTTGAGCAGTTTGACAAAAGTAGAATGTAGGAATTGCTTCATTGGAGCCAGAAGATGGCACTATTGTCAATGTTTGCAGGCAAAATACATTCTGCCTTGTTTTTCAGGCTGGTTTCTGTATGGTTCAGCCCAACAGAATGTACTTAAAGGAGAATTATGTGTAGATTTTTGTTATATGGGTTTTCATAAAATACAACAAAATATCCCAAACCAATCTGAAACTCAAGGAAGCTTATACATGGTCAATGTTTTGGATCCATATACCTGTTACTTATCTTATGGGCAATGTAGTTGACATTGGCCTTCTATTTTGGTTAGGTTTTTAGTTCATGTTTCCCTTAATGAGCAAAATCCATTTCTAGCTAATTAAGGGTAAGTGATAGACTAATTGTATTACATTTCTAAGTTAGTATTATTGGAAATCCATAGAAATAATTGTGTTGCTATTGTTTTGGGATGTTAAAAACCTCTGCTCTGATTGGACATCACCATGCTTTCCAGCTGTGGCTGCTTACCTTCCCATGGGAGGATGCATGCATGTATTGTCACCACGTTTTGGACAAAAAGCTGTACAGGGAAAAACAATTTGATTTCATTTAGAATAAATCTGAAATAAATACATTTCTTGGTTTGTTCTTTCCAAAATTTTGAAATAAATAAGTTATCAAGCAAGTTAGACTTGAAGAGTAATTCCTGGACCTAAAAAAGGACAACAGTGAAACTCTCACACTAAATCTTTTCTTTGTTTTAAGTGTGTGTGTGTGTGTGTGTGTGTGTGTGTGTGTATGTGTGTTGGGGATGCTTGTAAGGAAGAAAAGAGGAGTGAGGCCAAGGTCAGGAGTGGGAACGTGGAAAGACATTTTAGCTTTGGCTATTTTAATTTTATACCCAATCCTGAATTTAACCACATTCTTTGATTAAATGGCATTCAAAAGCTATATTCTTAAAAATCACATAGTACTTAAAAAGAATATATTTGAATATAACTTTAAAATTTAGCCAGTAACTAAAAAATAAAGGTATATTCTGCCATGTCTTTTAAAAAACTTCTTAAAAACTGAGTTTGGCATTCTGTAAAATTATTAATTCAGGTAAACTTCTTGCATTTAGTCACACAGGTGGGTACATTTCATCACAACCACATATGACTCAGACTTCTAAAAAGTAAAAACATGACATTTTTGGTTAATAATTATTTCAGCAACATTTCCCAAGCATCTTTTATATCATAAACAACGTGGATCCTGATTCAGCTCTTCTGGATTCCATAATAACAGATGGATTGCGAGACTGTTTACTGCTGCTTCCCACAAACTTCCTCTTTGTAAACTACTATATTATTTATGAATCAGAAAAGTTTCAAAGAAGCCTCCTATCTGATTACTGCTTACTGATGAACTTGCATTAGAGAAACTTTTAGTCCAATTATACAAGTTTGTTACAAAGAACTGTTATTATTTCAAAGTCTGAATTTGTTAACTGGTTGCTGTGCCTGCTTCTCTGTGCCATTGACTCACAAAGATCTTGTCAGACAGATTGCAGTGATCCTATCCTCAGAAAACAGGTAACGGTGAATATATCGGCACTAAAAGTGTTTCATAAATAGTATTACTACACCAGACACTTTGAGATATATTTAAAATGTCCTTTACAAAATATTTTAAATAATTTTGGTTTTGAGTAGTTTATATTTGTCTTCCTGGAAAGTTGTGTTTACTTTTCTGCAATAATGCAGTAATGGAGTTTATAGACTTTTTTGGTCACTGAACTTGACACTTAGAATTGTTGATTTGAGTGTCATGCAGGAATAAATATGGAAAAATGATGAAACTGAAATGTACCTCTTTAAAGTTTACCTGATCCTTCCTGATTTTACAATTTACTTTAGCAATAGAAGCAATTTTCTTTTCTGTTTGTGTGTGAAGTGGTCACAAAGATACCCACACCGATAGGCTTTTAATTAGATGCAAAAGAAGATGAGACAAAACTAAACCAAACAAAGCAAAAATGCCCCCTAAAATAAAGCCCTGTAGATAACCCTAACCTTGCCTTATGATTTCCACCCTCTGTGCTACATAACGCTGTGCAACATGATTATGATGAATTCATCATGACCTTGATAAGAAACATATTTACAGAAAAGTGTGGTCAATTACAATTGTTCTTGGGCTGAATCTGAGCTAGGGATTTGTGTGTGTGTGTATGAGAGAGAGAGAGTGAGTGAGTGACAGGGCCGGTTGGTTATGTCATCATCCTATCAAAAATATAATTGTAAATATGCCGATTGTGAACTGAGCAAGTTCTCGCCCTGCCCCTAGATGCCGTCCTCGCTGGGGACTCTCGCCGCCTGCTCGGGAGGCTAGTGCCGAAGCAGACCAGCTGCAGGATCCCTGGATGCCGAACTCAACCAGGAAGAAGCCTGTGACAGATGCTTTTGCATTTTATGCAAATAGCAACTTCATGGATCAGTTTTCCTTCCCTCTGTGGAATATAAGCATCTGGAAAATAGAATTCCAAAAGCCTTAGCACATTAACAATTGAACAGAAATGACCAAACAACACAGGTAACAGGACAGAACTAGATTGTCATGGAAGAATATGTTCATTACAGCCCTGGTTTTATTGTAATTTTTTCCTAGTCACACTATATGCTTTTATCACTTTCTAGTACTTTTCTTTCCATAAATCTATAGTAACTGAAAAGTATATTTGTTGTCTATAGCTACTTCCCAGCCACTGTATCATAGTTTTAGAGTACCATCGGGTATGTAGTAAGAATAAAGAAATCAACACGTTGGCTGAAGATATGTTTAAAACAATACTAAACAAAAGGAAAAACAAAACCAGAACATTCTTTCCCAGAAAAGTTTTTTTTTCCGAAGTAGAACTAAGTTTCAAAGCTTAAGCTGTAGATATATTTGCAGTTAAATAATTACTATATTTTTATATTACTGTGCCACTTAACATCTACTTATGAAAAATCATAAGCTTTATGATTTAAGATGTAGCAAACATTTATATATATTCTGACATTCAGCTTCAGCTTCTAAATGGAGATTACTACTATTTCAATAGATAAATAATTTTATAGTACTCATACATTTCTAAGAAGGCTTTCACATTATACCTAATTTTATGTAAATGTTATTCAGATTTCAATCCAAGAGTTTTGTAGGGGAGGTTAAAGGGTGTTTATCTTGATTTGTTAAAATGTACCATTAAAATTAAGCAGTGACAAATATTATGACTTTGTAAATTGTTCTAAATGGCTATATTTGTTTATTAGGTTTGTGTTTATACAAAATATTTTAACTCTTTAAATGTAACCTAATTTGAGGGATTGTTCGTACAGGAGCTGTAATCAGTAAATAGATCTGGTAACCTCACAAATTCAAAAATTAGCTTATATTCTTAATAAACTTCCCTTTATTGTTTAATGGAATAAAATAGTATGTATCACATTTAGAAAAATTTGTAAAGGTAAAAATTAATACAAAAGGGAAGTTTAAATTCTTTTATTTTCTAAAATGCTGTCCTTTATGTAATTATCATAAAGATATGCTTAAAATATATTTCTTGGATGCACAGTTTAATGTTTGGGAAAAACATTCTTTAGAATAATTATAATAAAAATACATGCAAATTGACAAAGAACATTTCATTCGTTTGTTTAAAAAATACTTCTGAAAATGATATTTTAAGGAGGAAAAGAAAGCAATCAAAAATGTCTTTTCATAAGAGTAGGACAGTTATATTCCTCTATGTTACTTATTAAAAGTAATCAGCTAAGATAGAGTATAGATAAGGCATGACTCTAAATGAAATCTTAACTGAAAATTCAAAAACATATTTCAAAATCAAGTATTAATAGAATAAACTTAATTTTAGTTTCTCATAAGTGCAGCTGCCTTTCTATTTAATTATAGGTTTTCAACAGTAGTGATTTTTCCTTGACCTACCTACTCATTCTCAAAAGTCAGAAAATTGCTTCTTTTTAAAAACTGACAATGGCACGGTATGTTTCCAAAGAAAAGAGACAAATTGCAGAAAACCATTAGTTTAAGCATATTTAAATAGCCAGGAAGAAGTTCTAATAGAAAACTTGGTGAAATATGAGAAAAAGTTATGAGTTGCTTTTATGGCGTGGTATAACACAAATGTTAAGGAATTATATTATTGTTTTCTTCTTTTCTAAAAGTAAAATAAAAATGTGTTGTATAATTATAAAAAGCCCAATGCATTAAAGATGACTTGTTTCTTGCTCTTTGGTAAAAGGAATTCTTTACAATTGTAAATTTATGGAGATTTCATCTGCAGCTTGTATAGTAGACAAACAGAACAAGGTATTTTAAAAGAGAAAAATTTAGCTTATTAAGAGATGTGAAATAGGATAGTAAGATAAGTAAGGAGCAGAGACTTGGCCTTTGAAAATGTAATGAGATTGACGCTGAAAAATTACTGACAAATAGATTAGGAAAACATATTTTTTTATTTAAATTGTTAAATCGCTGTGAAGAGTGTAAACACTCAGGTTTTCTCTGAGTGAAAAGATAATCTTTCTGATTTAATAAGTAGACTTCTCAATCACAGAAGAGAGGGGATGGGATTTTTTGTTTATTTGATACAGAGATTTTATATACTATGTTTTTAGCAAACTGTTTAGCCTCCTTTTGTGACCTGTGAATAATTTGTGAGTTAGAGGTCCAAGTCATTGATTGATTACAGAAAGAAATATTTAATAATCAATGGATAATTATTCACTACTCTATTTTCTTACTTTTTCATACTCAAAAACATTTTTATATGTATGTTTTGAGATTCCCCCTGATTCTTTAGATGGAATTAAGAGCAAATTACATAGAAATGAATTAAACCTGGGAAAAGAATATTCTTTCTAAATCTTGGTTATTAATAATTACCTTTTCACTATTCGTGGTATCAACACAGAATATGTCTTCACAGCCAAAACATGGTTTCAATACCCAGGTTAATTAAAAGGGCCGGGTTACAGAATCTGAACCACTGGTACCAACAGGGTCTGTTGAGAATAGTACATCCAGCCAGGAAGTCAAAGGAAACTTTCAATAAAAATCGGAGATGCCAAGACATTCCAGTGCTTTGATCTCTGCTGATTTTGATAGATTTGATACCAATTGAATGACCTAAAACCCCCTTCCAAATGCAAAAACTCGGGTTGCCCTGGAAGTCAGAGGCTCACATTACTGTAAACTTCTTGTGGGGATACCATTGAGGTTTAGCTTACTTTTTCCCCCTACAGTTTCAAATGATTGTTATATTTTGTAATTTACTTAGGAAAGTCTCTCTTTTACAATCTATTGTTGCCTGTGAGCAAGGTCCAAGTAAGGGTGGTATTCAGGTGTTCAACAGCTTCCTCATAGGCTATGAATTAAAAACAAAAACTTGTGGCTAAAAAAAAGAGGCTGCTTAACACTGAGGGAGAATTAGGATTTAGTCAGGTGAGCAGAGATGAGTCTGCCTGTGACAGGTCATCACAACATTCATTCTTGGGAAAAAGGATCCTTTGGAGTGAAAGATACCATGAAAATCTAAATTAAAAAATATACATTTACACCCAAATTCTTGTAAATTATCGACTCATAAAAGGCTGACCCTATGTGTCATAGTCAGTGACTACAAATATTCTTACCAGTGGATGACAATATATTTTATTGTTCTTAGGAACAGTTGAGCCATAAAACAAAGGCATAATAATTTTATACACTTTTTATGATGTCAGGAATTTTATAAAGGAAGTCCTCACAAAGCAAGGTAACCACAGACTTAATGCAGTAATGTTTACTTAATTTGTCAAGCTATAATAAAATGAAAATGAAAGGTAAAAATAAGCCATAGGTCTACTAGACAGGGTATTAGAATGTATTTTAAGAGTCTCTGGAACCAGTTCTAGATCTGACAGAACTCTCTGTGTCTCAGTTTCCTCATGTGTAAAATGAGAATTTAGGGTTTAATGATCTCTTGGGTCTTGGAAAGCTCTAAAATTCTACAACTTTGAAAGTAAGGAATAAAGTGCCCTGTGATTTCCCTTTTTATTTAAAAAGTGTTGCTCATATTTTTCAGTTAATTGATACTATATTATCTTTCTGTGATATGTACCCAAATTTTTGTAAAACATTTTAGAGAATGCATTTTGCAATGCACAAAGGATGCAAATTAAATGTCACCCAGAGAATTAAGAGTAAAATCACTGTTGAGAGCAATGGCATTGCTGGAATGAGATTTATAGTTATCACAACAACAGATAAATGTTAAGAAGTCTTCACTTACTGAACAACAGGGAATCCAAAGGAAGGAAAACACTCCCTCCTTTTTCCTCTACTACCAAATAAAGGCCAAAAAACCAAGAAAAGAGAATGAAGAGGAAAGTGAGAGAGCAAGCAAGGAGGCCCTTTATCTCTGCATACGACATTGACCACAGGTGTTCCATTTAGGATCCAGGGGATTGTCATCTCTTGCATGCTATATTTTGTGGCCAAAAATATGTAGGCACATTATTAAAATGGCAAGGCAGTGAGGTAAGAGTTTGAGCAAGTATGCGCACAAGCAGTTAAGTCAGGGAAAGGTACAGGTTGCAGAGACTGAGAGTCCAAGCCAGAAGGTAAAGAGGAAGTTGGGTGGTAATGAAAAGGAAAAGGTGAGCCGAGCAAAAGGGCCATGCCATAGAAATTACTCAAGCAATAATTCATCACAGTAACACCTTAACTCTCCTTGCTTTTAATCTTCTTTAAAAAAATCATCCACAGTCACTAAAGAAATCCTTCATAATTTCACAGTTGTCGTCCTGCTGTGAAAGCCATAGTTGCTAAGGAATATCCGAATTGACTTCTGTGGCTGGTACTCTAAACTATTAAGCCCTGTGGTGTTACATCATTGGCCGTTGGTGTCTGGTGAGCTGCTAGACATTAGTAGATGTGCACCATCAGCTTTCATTACTGTCTTCTTTGTTTGCTGGGAAACACTGGCTGTCAACTGAGTGCTCTGGTGGACTATTGTAGCTGAAGTCTAGCTATGATGGATTGCCTTAAACCCTTTCCATTGGAGCAGATGTCTTACAACAAGGCTGTAGGCCTGGACTAGAATTCTTGGTAGCCAGTGTGTACTTTGCTGACTCATCCAATGAAAAATGCTCTAATGAAGAGCTCAGTTCAGCAGTGTTATAAAGGCACCATGCAAGGGTGAGATTCCAAAAATTTACTAATCAAGAAGTCAGGGGCCTTGATCAATAAGGAAGATGCGTTCTCTAGACTGGATAGTAGGCTTCAGCAGTATGGGCTAGCAGCCAACATCAAAATATATTTCTAAAGAATGTAACCTCAAAAATTAAATATGAGATCTCAGAAGAATCCTTTAATTTTTAGGAACAGCTATTGATGTTGTTAATATCATTATTGCTATTATTTAGGTTAGTATCTATCTTGATATAGTAGGCTCACAGATGGTTTTCCTCCAAGAAAAGATCAGAATTTGGGGTTAATTTCTGAGCCATATAGGAATATTTCAATTTATAATTTTATTCTTCTGTTAT